TATAGAAAATACCAGAACCTTCCAATGTATATTCACAGATTTATAGATAGGTGTATTGTTAATTTCATGGATAAAGTGAAAGCTATATTGCCTCTCAAGACGACAAAAAAAATTTATCCACGTTGACCGATAAATATATATTGGTGTATTTTCCTATCTTACGTTCGTTTTTGTATCCAACATTCGTCATATAACTTTTTTCTATAGGACTCGTAGTTTTGCCGGAAATTGAGATAACCCATTCTTAACCCTTAAAAATCAACTAGTCCCTCCACTTCCTTTTCCCGACCTTTATGGGCGATCAATTATTTTTCTCTTAATGTTTGTTATTTTATCTGTCGTTTCCGATGGGTATTGCAGATGGGCGTAATCGGACCACTGCGACGCCCACAAAACGCCATTAATCAAAAACCCGCCCCGCCCCCTAATAAGTTTAATGTGCATATCTCCTAAACCGCTAATGTTATAATAACAAAATTCACTGGAAGCAAATGTTTTTAGAACCTCTACCTACAGTGTGAAAATAGTTGAAATCGGGTGGCAACTCCACCCACTCCACATATAACGGCACTGTTAAAAACTACTAAAAGCGCGATAAATCAAGCACTAAACACGCCAGAGACATTAAATTTTATCTCTGGGATGGTATGAGATGACTTTATAGGAACCACGTTCAAAATTAGACAGTGGGCGCGGCACCGCCCCCTTTTAGGTGAAAACCCATATCTTGAGATCTGCTTAACCAATTTCAACCAAATTCGGTACATAACATTCTTCTCATATCTCTATGTTATAGTGCGAAAATGGGCGAATTCGGGCGTCGGATTACAACGACGCCTATTTCCCATATAACTTTTGACTTTGCGAGAGTATAAAATGTTCGGTTACATCCGAACTTAGCCCTTCCTTACTTGTTTAAAATAAAGTTTTGTAGATACGCTGCAACATTTCCCTTGGCCTTAATTCATATAAATTATAAGATTTTGTGGCCAGGCCTTAAAAATATAATTATAACAAAACTGAGCGCAATTTTCTATATACGGTTCCTGATGTGCTTTCTTAACATCTCCTATTTTTGGAGGGGTATTAAACTGCATCCGAATAGCAGATGAGTTTTATAAGAAACTTTTTGAGACCGAAATACAACAAGTAGAAAGCCACAATATTAGAAACATCTCTTCGTATAAACCCTCGGTCAATTTACATTTGGACAATTTAAATATATTGGCGGCCTTGTAGTCTATGTATATGTGATATATTTTGAATGGCTTATATCTAAAAAACATAAAGTTAGTCGATGAATACTAAAAACTTAACACAACGCTTTGCTGCATTCAATGCATAGACAGAAAAGGTTTGAGCTGTAACAAATGAACTTGAAAGAAACGAACTTGATCAATTAAAATAATTATAATGAAATGGCATTGGTGAAAAAACTCGTTGATTTTCGAAGGTACACATACATACATTTGTATTCAAGAGCTTAGTTATACACATTTTATCGCTCAAAACCGGTTAGATGAGAATATGTGATTGCAAACTACTAAAGATATAAAAACTAATTGACAAACTCATGTAAATAGTAAAAAAAAAGGAAAGCATCTAAACCTCCCACGACTATTTAGCGGTAATGTCACAAATTACTTTTGATGTTTGTTATTTTGTTTACATTGTCTATGAGAATATTAGCTTTCTCGCTTTGTAACTGTAAATAAATGGAGATGAATAAGGAAATTTATGCATAATAACTATGTGGTTTGTGATTATTATCCGAATTAAAGTTGATCTTAGATTAAAGTGGAGCGTATTCATCTATGTATGTTTGACACCGAGCTTCCTGCCGACAACGGTAAATAAAGTACATTCATTCTGAAATTAGTAACCGACGTGCCGACGTAGAAATCATTTGAGCAATGCTGCCATTGCTGAATTTGTATACATGGTTTTGCACACATCTACCTTTTCAGTTACAATTTTTCATAATGTAAAAGATCAAACCTAAAATCCAACTATTAAAAATAGTCTCTCCGTTTATAAATAATTTTATTTGACTATGATTTTGAGTTAGTTTAAGAATATTTCAAATATATTCAAGTCTACTTTTTAATTACTTCAAAATATCGAGACTGGTAACCCTGCGTTGTAGGAGAGCAATCAGCTGACTCGTTTCTACGGGAAATATCCAATATTCGCGGATATCCCAAATTACGGAGAGTAGAAGCGGTGGTGTTCACTTGCACTGCACTTTCATAAAATACGTCGTATCAGCTGATACGAAAAAGAGTAGGAGTCCTCTTGTGACCATATTAAAGGAAAGCTATAAAAACACAAGAGAAAATATACCGTGTTTATGTATTCCAAAACTAATATTTACATTTAAACAGTATTAACGTGAACACAACACGATTATAACAACAGCAACAATTAATACAGCTGCAGCGTTAATTGAACACATGTCAGCGACTTGTAAGAAATCGCGAACATGATGAAATGATAATGACACTTGCTTAATGAATTCACATCAAAACCTTAGCGCTAAACATGCTTCAATGAAATTTATACAGCTTCTGGAAAACATGAAAAACTAGTGCCTGATCAAAGAATTGTTTTTTAATTTAGATTTTTTATAAACAGTTAACTACCGAAAATCTGGAAAAAATATTCCTGAGGCCACTACTTTGCAAATAAAATAAAAAATAGTTTAAAAAAACTAAAAAACACGCTTTAAAGAATTTTTACACCTATTCCTATAAATCTCTTCCCTACCATCTTGTTTGTGAAATTTAATGCTTATGGCGCATTTATTTCGTCAGTTATCGCACTTTTAGTATACTTTAACATAACTGTTATATGAGGAGTGGGTGTGGTTATTATCTGATTTTGCCCATTTTCACAGCGTATGAAAAAGGGCTAAAAGGACTTCCTCTCAGCAAATTTGGTTGAGTTAGCTCTAGCGGTTTGGAAGATATATACATTAAACCATTTAGGGCGCAGGGTTACGCCCATCTTTAAATAATGGAAAACTGTTATCAAATTATTGCATTGTCATCGGTCCCTGACACATCTGCAAAGTTTCAAGTTGATCAGACTCATGGAAACCGGTGAAAATTGAGCTCTAAGATTCCGTTACATACATACAACCCAAGCTAATAAAAGCGTATTAAAACAAGTAAGGAAAGGCTAAGTTCGGATGTAACCGAACATTTTATACTCTCGCAAAGTCAAATGGTATACTCGTTTGAGATTTCTTTGTGGATTGACTGATATTTTCGGTAGAAGGTCAACTATAGGCACTGGGGTCCACATATTTAGTACTTAGGGGCTTGAACAGTTTTGGTTCGATTTAGACAATTATTGGTCACAAGGTGGCATACTTTAAACGTATTATTCACGCAAAGTTTTACCCCGATATAATCATTTTAGTCCGATTTCGCCCATTTTCGCACTATAACATAGAAATATGAAAAGAACGTTATGCACCGAATTTGGTTGAAATCGGTTGAGCAGATCCCAAGATATGGGTTTTCACCTAAAAGTGGGCGTTGCCACGCCTACTGACTAATTTTGAAGGCGGTTCCTATAAAGTCATCTCATACCATCCCAGAGATAAAATTTAATGTCTCTGGCGTGTTTAGTGCTTGGTTTATCGCGTCTTTTTTAACAGTACCGTTATATGAGGAGTGGGTGGGCTTGTCACCCGATTTCACCCATTTTCACACCGTCAACAGAGGACTAAAAACATTTGCTTCCAATGAATTTTGTTATTATAGCATTAGCGGTTTAGGAGATATGCACATTAAACTTATTACGGGCGGGACCCCGCCCACCTTAAAAAAAAATTGTAACTGATAATTAATATCATCAAATAACAGTCTTGTATTTTATTGCGAAGCTTAGTTATGGCAATTTATTTGTTTTTGATTAATGGCGTTTTGTGGGCGTGGCAGTGGTCCAATTACGCCCATATGCAATACCAACTGTCTCCCGGTACCAAGAAACATGTCTACCAAGTTTCATAAAGATATCTCAATTTTTACTCAAGTTAGAGCTTGCACGGACGGACGGACAGACAGTCACCCGGATTTCAACTCGTCTCTTCATCCTGATCATTTATATATATATAACCCTATATCTAACTCGATTAGTTTTAGGTAATACAAACAACCGTTAGGTGAACAAAACTATTATACTCTGTAGAAAATATAAAAAGATTCCAAAGCACAAAGCACTAGATTATCTATTAATAAAACATATATTTTTTGCGCGATGGATTTTAGATGAATATCAAAGGATTAGTGATGGTCAACACGAACAGCGATTGTTTAGTTTAAATCTACTCTTTTTTTCAAATTTCTGTCAAGTCAAGTCGAAATTTTATTACCTTACCTTTATAAAATAAAATTATTTGATGGCAAACAAAACTACTAAAATTTGTAATTTTTTCATGTCTCTGACTAATTCTAACCCCTTAAATGGCGTTTTAGTTAAGAAACTTCTTTTACACCCAAAATTAAGAAAACAATTAAGTTAATTAGTATAAACTTAATAAGGCCTTAAGTATTTAAATATAAAATTAGTATACCACTTTTTGTAGATAATTATCTTATACGCAGTGAAAATATGATGCCTGCTAACATAACATGATTTACGGAAGATTTTAAAACAGGTTTTTAAAAAAATTAAAGGGACATATAAACTAACATCCAGAACGTATTTAAATTATGATCGGGAAAAACGATCGATTTCAACGAGAAACTTTTAAATTTCAACACCAGTTCAAGTGCAATTCAAGTAATATAAAATGTTAAAACTCTTTAATAAGGCAGTGTTATCAAAAATAAAAACAAATAATATTGAAATAAAAGTTTTTATACTCGCATTTGTAATAATACGTAAAATATTACAGTTAAACTTAAAAAAAATTGTATATTTATAATTTAGTATTTAAAGTTTGGACAAAAAATGCCTTTCGCTGAAATAATGTCACAATTTTTACTTACCTGTCATAAACTCGGCATGTCGTATTGTTAATTCGTTTGTCCGAAGAACGACGACGTCTATCTTCGAATAAATCTTTAACTGCTGTAACACCAAGCACAAACAGAACTGGAATCATGGCAACTTCTTTACCGAAAGCGTTTATAGCCGGAAACCAATTTAGTAATACGATAAAAATAAAATATAAATTCGCGACACGATGGAATTGCTCGAGTAGATTTTTCGGTATGAACGAAAGTAAAGTGTATTTTGTGGTGCGGATCTTATTACCCACGAAATCGCCATTCGGGTGATCGCGTTTTGGAGTTTTTGGTGGAACTGTATGATTAGGTATAACTATTCGATAACTTCGTTCATCTAATTTCTCACTATGACAAACTAATATACGCTTCCACCAAGGTGGTGTTTCGGAGCGCCTCAGTGTGTATATTGATTCCGAGCGTGATGCTTGCCGAGAATGACCTCGGCCACCTGATGACGATGTAACAGATGGCCCAAAATCACGAGTTTCAGTTTCCTCCTTGTGACCAGGTGGGAGGATAAAATCTGTTTTCGAACCAACACGACTATGACCGCGTGAGGCATCAGTCGTACCAGGTGAATCTGTAATTTGACCTTGTGAAAAAGCACGTTGATGTCCTTTCATAGCTGATTTTATTGGCCGACCACTCGGACCCAAAATGGTACCACCGCCATGGCTTACGGATCGTATATGGCCGCGACTAGTTGTATCAACGCTGAGATTACGGGAGGGCGCAGATACCACAGCCACGCCAGGTATACCTGTCGCCATACTACGAATAATGCCTTCGCCAGTATTTACAGCTCCGGGAAAGACATAGGTACGTTCGGGTTCTTGCAAAGGAATTTTCTGCGCTCCATGTAGAGGATCGTACGTCGTAATTCTTTGTTGCAATAACGCAAAATTTGGCACCGGCAATGTTGACGGGGCTGAACGCTGTTGCTGTACAATTGTAAACTTTTGCCGCAACTCTTCGGTATTCCCTGAAAGCATTATTACAAGACACCATGTGTATCTGCGAACTTGTAATCATAAACTACAGCTACTGGTTCGAAACAGCAATCAAATTAAAAATTGACAATTTTAAATTGTCCTTTTAAATTCATTATATAACAAATTTAAAATATTTTTATGATAGAACCCTGTAATATAAAAATAAAATTATTTAATTTTTTATTAGAAGTAACTTAGGGTCAAATCTAAATATATATTATTTAAAAAAATAATAAAAGAATATAATATAAATAAATACAATATTATATATATATAACAGTTATATTATACCAAGCTTCTCATTTAGAGCTGCTCTTTAAAGGATCAACTGACATCTGAGCAGTGTACAAGGTCGGGCTAGCAATTTAAAAGTCCAAAGTTAGGAAAATCAATTCCTCATGGTTTAGTTGTAATTTCGAGTGAACCTCTACATACTGAAATCAACTGCTAATGGCTGTGAATGATCGTTAGTGATAGTTAGTCTAAGGTCGCGTATGAGCAAAAAAACAGTAGAAGTAAATACTTATTTGTTTTGAAATATTTTTAATATTGGTTACGGCAGAAAACAAATAGTGTGGACAGCTCCTGACAGTATAAAAACCCCGGTCCGGTTACGAAGACCCAACTATCACGAGAATGGTTTTGAGGATTGATCGTATCACTATTTGATTAATGTAGCTACTTCCTGAGTTAACGAAACGAAGAAAATCGAGGCTATATCCATATAGCTGCTATGTTCGAAATTTCTAAAACTGACATAACTGTCAAATTAAAAGAGATTATAATACATAGTTTTGTCCCGTTAATTTTTTCGGAGTGTGTTGATGTAATAAACGAAAGTAGGAAGTAGTAGAAGGCCTTGTTAACAATTACAATGCGAATCAAAAAATAATGTTTTCGTTTTCCTAAGTGTAGGAAGCGTTTATTGGGATATATGTAGTAATTATATTTAATACTTGTTCCAGTCTCCCGCGTTGTCTATTGTAGCCTGACATTATTGATGGCAACTTGCGCTACTTTTTCCACATATTCCACAGGAAGCGACCTACAGGTATGTTGGAGTAGCCGGGACATTAAACGTTTTCTTGATATTTTGGCTTTCATTAAAATTCAAACATTCTCTAATGGATTGGCCTCTGGTGACTGGGATGGCCAATCTAAAGTAACAATATGGTTTTCTTGTTTCCATTGAGTACAGAGTCTGTTCTTAAGTTTCAGATCATTATCTTCTTACAGTATCCAATCATGGTTATTTTTACCGTAAAGCCTTTCAACTGACTTCAGTAAACACTCCTAATACAATTTTATCATTCTAACGAATTCAGGTTTTCTGTGAATCGCCTCAAAACCCTAAATCCATGAGCAGAGAAGTATAAAAAAAACATGGACCTTATTCATATGTTATTCATTTTAGTCGACTTATACATCTTTGGTCTTAGTGAAAACTTTACATGCTTGCACTTTTGTTCATTTACATTCATTCGCCAGTTGGTTAGCTATTTTTCAACCAAAGCTAAATGTAATATCCTTGACGCACTGATGAGAGATTTTTTACGGCATATTAGAGCTGTGTCATCCACAAAATCGATGTCATTACGTTATTGCCCATTGGATTATATAAGATATATAGAGTTGGACCTAGCACACTCCCTTGAAGTACACCAGCCCATATCGGTCGTACATTTGATATGAAATTAGCTACTCTAACAGTAAATCTTCTATTTTTTAAATAAGACTCCAATGTTTTATATAATTTGAAATTTTAATTTTATATAAAAGGCCCTCATGCCAAACCTTATCGAATGCTTGAGCTACATCAAGGAATATTGCTGAACAACACACTCTGTACTCGAATGCCCTTCTAATTTCGTTAGTAATTCTATTTACTTGCTCTACTATGCCATGTTTTGCACGAAACCCGAATTGGTGCGTTGGAGTTGTATTATTTTCATGGAGAAAAGTAGACATCTTTGATAATAACACTTTTTCAAATACTTTGGAATTATTGGTCTGCAAGAAGACGCATGTATTAAATCTTCTCCATTAGCATTTTTGGAGTAATTTTATCGTGTCCTGGTGACTTGGGATTTATCCCTGTTATTATTTTTTTAATTTCAAAAGTTGAAGGCTTAATAGACAAGAGCGACTTGCTAGCAGTGTCGATCAAAGTTGGCAGATTAAAGTTGTTTTCTGGACAATTAGGCTGAAATACCGTCTCTGGGTGGTTTGAAAAGCAAATTGCTTTTTCGTCATCACTTCGAGCCTTATTACCACTTACGTCGCTTATGTTTAGGGTTATAGACAAGTTGGAATCTACCGGCGACTTAATGTGTTTTTGGGTTTTCCAAAGGGTGTTTTGCTGGTTGGTTGAATTTGGCCTCAATTCCTTTATATTATATTCAGTGCTGTTACTTCCACACACTTCAGCGCTTTTTTTAGTTTACGTACTGCATCCTTCAATTGCAGCCGAGTAAAAGGAGAGCGATTTGCTTGCCATTCACGTCTAGCACCCTTTTTTCAGTTACAAGCTTTTCTATTTCAACATTTGTGATTCTTCTGAGACCAGACTACTTGTTAGTTTGGTTTGGTGTTGCTAAGACAGCTGCTTTAGTAATTATTTCAATAAATTCGCGTATGCTATTTAGCTATCTATTAAGATCTATCTATATTTTTAATTACACCAAAATAAATTAAATCTGGTATTATGCTTCGATCACTGGGCCAGTATGTCGGCTTATGAGGAGATATTATATCAAGGTTTTTGCGCCTATCTATAATAGTGTAATACAGCTGTCTTCATTTTGTGTTAATTAGACATGAGCCCTAATACATATGCTTAGCATTGAAATCACCACCTGCTAGAAATCTATTTCCTAGTGAGCCAAAAAAGTCTTTAAATTGGCAATCTGTAAATTTAAAACGAGGTGGGTAGTATACAGCCGTCAGGTTTAAGTCACTACTGCGTTTTTTTAAACGTATTGTGTTAGCTTGTAACTGGGCTGTAACATGATATTCTAAAGCATGGTGATTTAATCGATTTCTAACCAACACTGCTGTTTCACCATGCGCTTTTCCATCTAGGTGATTTATATCATATGTTATAGAGTCTAAAACCAAGTATAAGGAAATTGTTCTTATTTGCTACATGTGATTCAGATAATAACATTACATCTATAGCTTTTTTCATTTAGAAATCTAATGATCTCCAGTTTGTGCTGGTTAACACCGTTAGCATTTCAAATACAAATATTTAGTTCCCTCTTTTGTTTACTTTAACAAGTTTTCAGCAATTGGTTTTGCGCTTTAATTAGATCTTGAATCATTATTTGCATTGTTGACATACATTGAATAAGATTTAATATCATACTTTCAACACCACCGCTTGGCTCTTTCTGGGGCAATCGCGTTTGAACAGTGTTCCCTTTTACCACATTTGGATAATTTCCATGGACGGCGGTATTTTTAACATAACCAGGTTTTGAACTCTGATCAGTGATTTTATTAATTTCGCTACGAGGAATGTTCATCATTTGGTTGGGCAACCCCTATACTTAGCAGGTTATTTCCTCCACAATTACTACATTTCTTCGTTAAATCCTCTTTCTTAAGCGTACATTTAGACGTAGGGTGTTAATCACCAAATACTACAGAAACAATGCGAAGGGTGCACTATGACTTTTTGTGCCCATACTTTTGGCAGTTAGTGCTTTTGACCATTTGTTTTATGGGGTTCTTAAATGGTAATTCTACGGTTCTTTACCTGGTTACTCAATAAGGCAAATCTAGAACCACTGTTTTTAAAGGACTTGATTTCCTTTTAATGTTCACGTGATTAAATGTGACAAACTTTTCTTAACCAAACACGTCTCCAGGAGTTGAACAATACAAAAGTTTACTGATCTGAAGTATATACCGTATTGTATTTAGAGATAGAGCTTTTCTTAGACTGAGCAGCAGTTTCTTCTCAAAAAAGAGAACAATAGCTTTGTCCTCATGACCTCTTCACAAATGTACAACTGATATTTAAATACTTTGCAGTTTTTAATAGTTCATTTGGGACCTTTACAAAGGCTGCTTCAAAACGTTTCTTATATTGAGCACTTATTTTTCTTATTTCACGGCACGACAGACACATTAAGAAGATCGAAAATGTACGCTTTAGCAACGCGATTAAACATGTGTTAATTTGTAAAAAAAAATAAAATCAGTTTTCAACGAACTGATTGCGCGAAGGAAAAATGTTATTTTTTGAAAGCACTGTACTTTGAAAGTTTGATAGTTAGGCCCGTTTATGACTGCAGGTAATGGCATGATGTAACTTGGTGCTATAAAGTTGTGAAAGTGATCTCCACTTACGTATTAACGTCACCGCAGCAAAAATTTAATGGTTGTCAGAAAGGAGTTTTACGCAAATGAACTAAAGACATTCTGTTGTTAGATCAACTAGGATTATTTTTTTGAAGCGCAGTCGAAAGCCCCCACGAAAAAGCCAAGGAAGTAAGGAGATCGCGGTATTTGATCGACTGCGGTGGCGTTAATACGTACGTACCGAAATATCTTCATAAAATTATAATATTTCTTTTGGCATAATGACAATTTGTGCTAAGAAATCATTTTACAGGAAAATTTCTACCCCTATCGTTGACTTTACACCATAGTTATTTCTGTACTTCTTCATAAACTTCTTTATTAAAATTAAGAAATCTTATGGATGATTTTCTAAAATATCTATTTATTTACATTTTTAATAGATGATAAAGGGAGCCATTGATGAAGAAGGGTATATCTCCTATTTTCATTTATGGATATTCACTAAATAATATAATTAGGATTGATGGTTTATTTCATTTGATGTAATTTATAAAAAAAATTTGCACTATAACAATTGACTAAGATAAACTTTGTAGTAAGAAGAGGTTAGCTTATATTGTTCATTAGTTTCTTCTGATTTTAAAATCACCAAAAATCGTTTATAGCAGTTAAGAATTCAGTGATCAAATCTAAAGCATACCCTTTATATTTTTTAATACAACAAATTCTACTTTAAATTAATATCAATTAAATATTTGTAAACATATTGTGACACTGTGAAGATTTTATAGGTAGTATTAGTATTGGTAGAAATTTTTTGATATAACAACACTGTTAA